GAAAACCCTCGAAATAGCGTGCAGTAAGTAAACAAAAACAATGTTACTCCCCGAAGTTGACTGTTTCATTTTCCCCGCTTTTGTAACTATATTTTTTCGTTCATTCATGGTTATTTGGAGCCGTATCTGTGAAAATTGGTGTTATATATATACACCACCTCCACCGTACTTTTAATTCCATCATTGCTCAACAACTGGTGGTTTTCGTTTATCATGGGAATATACCTCTCAACAGCCCACAACCATGACGGCAGAACTGCACCTCCCAACTGATCTCTGATTCAGGTTGCTAGATGATAATGATTAGCATTCCCATCATCGACTACTTACCACATTTTCTCTCCCCGTTCCCATAGGTCTTATTGAATACAACTTCCATATCATCAAAGATGGTTTGCAAAAAATGTTGGAACTGAATCAAAGGCACGAGAAAGACGATCTGGTCGTGTTTGACCCCGAGAATACGACACATCCTATTGCCCCAGATCATCCTTCGGACGGGCCACGTGCAGACGCGTCTGAACGCAGTGTGACTGGCGGTGTAGCTGCTGCTGTTGTTGCGGATGATGAGGATGAAGATGAATAGGAAGAGGCAAATCGGGCTCGTGTTCGAAGCCAGACACACAGACCTCTGTTCAGCATTGTGTTCCTGATACTCCTCTCTGTCCCCCCCCCGACCCGCTCCCTCGCCTACCGTGAATTTCCCCATGGGACACGAGTGCGCTGCGTGAAGTTGGATGAGGGAATGGGAAGATGAGCGTCTGTGCCCTTATTCACTCACTGATTGAAACGTGTGTATCTCAATCAGACTGTTAGTTAATTTGTTCGTCTGGACGAATTCCAATGTACAAATAACTTGTTGTGCGACCATCACTCCCAGATTTATGCTCCCACATACACACACATCACTCCCCAGTTGCACCGTTCGATTGGCTATCCATGAGACGAAAATCTTCATCCTCGTCTCCTCTCAGCCACAGAACTTGCATCGATTGATTTGCAGATTGATTAATCAACTTTATTGTTTCCATCTGATTTGCTCGTGTTTGTCCCACAGTTCTCGGGCCATCCCGGTTTGCCATTGATAACGTCCTCGGAGTTGTACCGCCACCATACTCTGTATCATACGTATGTACACACACACACACACACACACACGTCTGTTTCCTCACATCGTACACAATCGCCGAAAAAACATAATCAACTAAAGTGATCAGTCTGATTTTCATATTTTATATTTCCTACCGGTCACCGGTTTCACGCCCCCCCCC